TGATATTTGTAGATTCACATTCAGTTCTGAGATAAAATAGAGAGGGATCCCTTGTGTCCTTCACCCAGTATCCCCTAAGTGATAACATCCTGCATAGCAATAAAACATTATCACAACCCAGAAATTGGCACTAATATCATCCACCAATCTAATTTTCATTTCACCAGTTCTACATGCCCTCATTTGTGTTCAAACAATGTTTGTGTCAAACTGTATTTTAAATATCCTTATGCAGCTGATGAAAGGATTTTATTTTTATTCCCTTGGTAAATAAGCTATCCCTTTTTTTTTTTTTTGTCTTTTTTCGTGTCTGGCAACGGATCGCAACCCTCAGTGTTGCGCNGCGCCACCGGGCCGGCCCTAAATAAGCTATCCTTAATTGATATGTTTCATAAAATAAATCTGACTTTTCATATATTGGATTTGTTCAAGACATAGCCAATAAGGGCATGTGACAAAGTATCACTAATACATTTGCAGAGCAAGGTGGTAGGCATCACCTTTTGTTCAGCTGATAGTGGTTTAAAACAGTTTATTTACAGAAATTCAAGACTGTGTCCATTTGACTTTCAGACAGCAAACAGCTTAATGTGGATTCTCTATAACTTATCCCGTAATCCCCAAGTGCAACAAAAGCTTCTTAAGGAAATTCAAAGTGTATTGCCTGAGAATCAGATGCCACGGGCAGAGGATTTGAGGAATATGCCGTATTTAAAAGCCTGTGTGAAAGAATCTATGAGGTAAGAACATATGTCTAAACCAATGTGAATACATTAGAAAACTGCTCTCTTAATTACATAACGAGGGGTCGCCTGCTGATAGACAGCTCCCCCAGTTGAGAATAAACATTTATCAAACTTCAGAGAAGAGCCTTGGTACCATTTTCCTTTTCTTTGTATTACTCATTTCCTAAATCATTTGGGCAATTTCAATCTTGGAAAGTCAGTGTCCTCCCCTTTAAACAAATACTACTACTCTCCTAATGAATGCTATAAGCACTAATTAAGATCAGGGCATAATTGAAGAATATGAGGTGAACACTCAGTAAAAGAACCATATTATTATATAATAAGACATACAGACAGCTTTGGTTTTGAGCCTCTGGTATAAAACATTCTTTAAAAATTCTTTGGACACCCTCTCTGGAAAACAAAACTCACATTTTAGGATTAGAAGGAAATAGTGTTAACTTCATGAAGGATAGACAGGAGAAAGTATAACAAGTATCAGACTTCAGGATGAAGCATGAAAAACATATGCATAGATGTCTGAAATGAAACAGGGAAAACCCTGATTAACAGCTGCCAATCAGCCTCATACTAGGGTTTTAACCAACACAATAAGATAAGAAAAAGAAACAGGATATAAATATCAGAATAGACAGAACTTCTTTATGAAGAATTGGGATTGCATTCCCTTTTTGTGTATGAATTTATGAAACACTTATTTATTTAACCTCTTCTGCATTCCCATTGACACTTCAGATAGAACTTGTTCTGTGCCCACCTTTACATTTTTAATTTTGTTTTTTCAGGCTTACCCCAAGTGTGCCGTTTACAACTCGGACTCTTGACAAGGCAACAGTTCTGGGTGAATATGCTTTACCCAAAGGAGTAAGTAGAATTTGTATATTTTGTAACTTATACAACTTTGAAAGTTATACTTTTCGAATATTCATCAAATTTCCCTAAAACTATTTACTAGGAGAGGATTCATTTTAGAAATACAGAGACAGTAGAGCATAATTGACATGTTGCATGGTATAGGATGAGGAATGACAGCTGCAGATACAGAGACTTGGATTCAATTTCACCTTCATCTGTGTAGTTTTGAGTGAGCGACATAACCTCTGTGAGCCTCAACTTCCTCATCTGTAAAATGGGGATAATAATAGTATCTACCTCATGGGGTTGTTGTGAAATGTGATGCCAAATCTTAAAGTTCATTACTATTTATTACCTGGTACATTTTAAGCATTCAGTGCGTGTTGGCAATCACTATTATTATTAACTTGTGGGTGACTTTCATATTTGTAAGGTGATCATTTTTGTAAATTCTGCTGTTCAAGCATTCTCTTATGATTATTTTAAACACCATGTGTTTCTATGTGTTTTTAGACAGTGTTGATGCTAAACACCCAGGTGCTAGGATCCAATGAAGACAATTTTAAAGATTCAAGTCAGTTTAGACCTGAACGTTGGCTTCAAGAAAAGAAAAAGATTAATCCTTTTGCCCATCTTCCATTTGGCATTGGAAAAAGAATGTGCATTGGTCGCCGATTAGCTGAGCTCCAGCTCCACTTGGCTCTTTGCTGGGTAAAAACCTTTACTAGATTTCTCATTATGTTCTGTGCTATTCTACAAGGCAGGAGAAGAAAAGAGTAATTCTGCTGTTTTGTGCACGTGTGTTCCAGATCATCCGCAAATATCACATCTTGGCCACAGACAACGATCCTGTTGAGATGCTGCACTTGGGCATTCTGGTACCCAGCCGAGAGCTCCCCATCGCTTTCTGCCAGCGATAAGTCACCTCAGGTGAGCATCTGGTGGTGTTCATTATTCTCTGCAAGGTGCTGTGAATGACCAACGGGTGAACCAAGCTCAGAAGCTAGCCAGATTTGGCTTTGAATCCCTGCTCACCACTGATATGCTGGTGACCTTGAGCAGTTTCTTACTCTATGCCTCCATTTTTTTCATTTGTAAATGGTGACCAAAATAGTATCTATCATGGAAAATTGACATGAATACCAAGTCCTTAGCCTAGAGCCTGGCATCAGCATTCAGTAAATGCTAGCTGTTATAATGTTTCTTGTATGTGAATAGCCGGGGTTGACAGATTTTTTCTGTAAAGGGCCAGTTGGCAAATGTTTTAGGTTTTGTGGGCCGTGGGGTCTATGTTACATCCAGTTAATGCTGCCTTGAAGCATAAAAACATCCATAGGCAATTTGTGAATGAATGGGTGGGCTGCAGTATTAGCTTTCTATTGCTGCCATAACAAATTGCTAAAATGTAACACAGAAGATTATCTTACAGTTCTGTAGGTCAGAAATCCAACAGGACTCTCACCGGGCTAGAATTAAAGTGTCAGCAGACCTATGTTTCCTTCTGTAGGCTCTAGGGGAGAAGCTAGGTCTTTGCTAATTTGGGTTGTTGGCAGAATTTAGTTCCTTCTGGTTATGAGGATTGAAGTCCCCATTTTATTGCTGCTATCTGCTGAAGGCCATTCCCAGTTTCTAGAGACTGCCTACATTCCTTGGTTCATGACACCTTCCTCCGTCTTAAAACCAGCAACAACAGTTGAGTTCCTCTCTTGCTTTGAATCTCTCCTCCTTTTTATGTCACATCTCTCTGACAAGATATTACCTAGGAAAAATTTTCCCTACCTCAAGGTCTATAACCTTAAAAGTCCCTTTTGCCATGTAAGGTAACATATTTACAGGTTCTGAGAATTAGGACATTGACATTTTTGGAGAGCCATTATTCTGCCTACCACAGTTGTGTTCCAATAAAACTTTATAAAAACAGGTGATAGACTGTATTTGACCCTAGAGTCTTGGTTTGTGGTATATAATGACATTTAATGTAAAAGTATTTATTTATCAGCCTGTATTAAATTCTTTCCACAGTATGCCATTTACTATCTTTTCCGACAGTAGAGGAGTTCTCATGTCCCCTTTGCAACTTTCCCCTACCCATATATCAACTGCTATTTATTTCCTTGCTACTGAATTATTTTCTTTAAATTAACACAGGCCATATAGTTTACTTTCACCTTGTCCTGAGCCAGAATAGCTTTAATGATGTGATGAGTTTTTAAGTCTAGTTATTTTCTCCTAATATACATTAACATGAATTCAAAACTATCGAAGCATTCAAAAGTTAGCCTGAGAAACCTTTACTGTCATCTTATGTGGGAATATGACATTTCAGCATATGGCTTTATAGAATTACACTTCAGTATTTAAGCCCAGACTCAATCATTCTGCCCTTTTAACAGCATCTCCTAGAAATAGTCTAGAACTAGTTGCTATTTGCATGAAATATCTATTCTTGATGAAATTTCTGCTTGAGGCCCAAATGAATCCTTTATTATTCCTCTCCAAGCATCTGGTATCACTAGAAAATTTGTTATGTTCTGAGCATCCCAGTCAACAGAGTTGGATCAAGTAGGCTAGTGGAAGAATTCTAGCCTGGCCGGGAGACCCCCAGTCTGCAACTAGGAGAGCAAGCATGTTTATCACTGTGGGCCACACCTTTGGCAAGAGCCCATGGCAATTTTAGTTTTAGCATTTATTTTTTGCTAGTAATTTCCGTTGTTTAAATATACTTCTTTGATATATGATTGGGGTATACTTTATTTTCCAGATTTTTTTCACCAAGACCAGCAGCAGCAATTTTTACCCTCCTGCAAGAATGGTGCTTATGGCTTTAGCATTACTGGAAAGCAAACTTCAAAATCCAGAGCTTGCAACAGCACGCAAAGAACTTTAGGCCCAGATGTTTATCCTCTTTCTTCTGAACAATCATTCCAGAAGCTGTACTATCTATTTAGATGATGGTGTTCATTAAGAACATACCCAGCTCAGGGAAGCGGATTGAGTGTTGGAACACAGGCACTATGCAGGGTATACTCTTGGTTTACGCTTAACCAGTGTTGGCACCATTTTCACTCACAGAGACTTGCTCATGAGCCTATTTTCTCTTGCATCTTCCGTTACATGAAAGGGAGGCTGGGCACTGACCAGTTAGTCAGGTAAAGGTGCTAAATGTTTCTGCCCCTGCCCTACCAAACTCACTTGTTCGAATCTTTAATTTGCAAGAATAAGTTTGCATATTACAATGAAAGACCTACTACAGCTAAATTGTCTGGGGCTGAGGGTAATGCTGAACATCTGTTTATTGTAACTGTGTTTCATTTGATACTTGGGAAAATACATGCTTAATAATGTAAGCAAGGCTCCGTGTTGGTTAAAGGTATCAGGCCCTCATGAAACTGTTTTGCTTGTGTTAAAATGGAAACAGTGTTGGGAAATTAGAGAATACCTCTATTTTAAGATGTACTTAAATGAAGTCAGGATCTCTCATATAAGAATGCCTTAATGATTGACTCTGGCATCATTTTGTCAAAGGACCCTGAAATTATTTTGCTAATGTATTTCCTCTATGGCATTGGGGTAGGAATGAAGCAACAATTTTAAAATTATGTATGTGTATGTGCAGGCACACATGCATTCTTGTATGTATAAGTGCATGCGTGTGTGTACTAATGGCAATTTGCTTCAGTCATTAAAAAAAAAAAAAAAAAAATATATATATATATATAGTACCTGATTTAGGATCTGTGGTGCAGAGCAATGTTCTGAAGCCCAGTCACAGTTAAAAATATTATATATATTACCTGATTTAGGATCTGTGGTGCAGAGCAATGTTCTGAAGCCCAGTCACAGTTAAAAATATTCAGTGCAACTTTGGGAAAATGACTTCCCATGCCTTAATTTTCCTATCTATGGAATGAGATAATAAGAAAGTGTACCAATGTTGGAGATTAATTGTATAACATTATTGTACAATTTGAACTCCTTGGGAAAATACAATTTCATAAATGCAAAATGCAAGAGATTTATGAAATGCTTCTAAAACTTAAAAAATTACGTTTACATATTGTTTAGTTGTGTATATTTTTTCTACTACTTTTCCTAAAAGCATACAGTATATTTCTCTATATTTGATAAATATTTCCCTTTTAGGTTACATGTTTAGAGTATTTCAGAAGTATACACTTATATCCTTATATTTGAAAAAATATACACATATGGCTTAAATAGGTACATGTTTTTCTCTGCTGTGAAATTAGTTTTAGAATTATAAATCCACATGTGTTGTCAGATTTCATCTGTATATCTTTGAATGATCTGAAAGTGAGAATAAAAGTTTTTAACTATTTGAGAGATTTTTACTCTTCATTGTGTTTGTTACAATGAAATAATAACAAATTCAAACTTTGTCTTGTTAGTAGAACATTTTCTCATATGGCCATTTTACAAGCCCTAGGTCAGAAAATCTACTCTTACAAAAAACCAGACTTTGATGGCAGTTTTACTGAGAGATGATCATTTGAGTTGCAAAATCATTTTTCATTATTTTGCTACTTAGATATTTTTCAAGTCCATTCACTTCCACCTCCACCCCCCGTCCCCGCCCCCCCATCGTGCTGGTCATGGCCACTCTTCTCTCTTGGAACTGCAGGAACTTCTGTCATCTCCCTCTATTCTTGCTTCCCTCCCATCTGTCCTCTGCACACTTGCCGTACTGGTCTTTTCAAAACCCGAACCTGATTAGGTCTTGTGTTAGTCCATTTCTGTTGCTTATAACAGAGTACCTGAAACTGGATAATTTATAAAGAAATGAAATTTATTTCTTACAGTTTGGAGGCTGGGAAGTCCAAAGTTCAGGAAATGCATCTGGTGAGGGCTTTCTCCTGGGTGGGAACTCTCTACAGAGTCTTGTGGTGACCAGGGTGTCACATGGCAAGAATGGGCTTAACAAGAGAGAGCTAACCTTCTCAGCTGCTCTCCTTATAAAGCCGTCAGAACCATGCCTATTACTCCATCAATGGATCAATCCATTCAGGAAGGCACAGTCCTTACAATCTAATCACCCCTTAAAGGTCTCACTTGTCAGATACCATAATTGGATTTCTCAGGCTCTCAGCACTGTTACAGTGGGGGTCAAGCTTCAATTAGTTTTGGAGGGACATTCAATCCACAGCATGTCTCACTCCTGCTTCTGTGGCCTCCTATGGTTCTAACATAAAGATCCAATTCTATAAGCTGGACTTCCATGCCCTATAAAGAGTGGCCCCACTGACCCCCAAGCCTCAGCCCACAACATCCACCCTGATGCCTCTGGACTCCAGCCACACTGGCTTCTGACATGTCCTTGTATTCCTTCACCGCGGTCTTCCCACCAGCTCTCGCACCTGCTGCCCTTCCTCCCGGCACGCTCTTCCTCTGCCTGTTCCACTCCTATGAACCACTCCCAGCCCAGCTCTAGCTTCCTGGAGAAAGTCTTCCTTGATGGTCTAGATCCCGCAAAGGCTGCCCCTGGCACCAGGATTCACCAAGGTAGTGATTTCCGGAGACACCTGTGAGGCAGCAGAGTAGGGAGGGGACGAGCCAAACAAGAGTGTGATTTTGGGTGTCATTCCAGCTTCAGCCTGGTCCCCAGGGAGCTCTGCAGTGTAGGTTGCAGCACAATCTGCTCTCCTCCCAGCCAGAGAGTGGGGCACCCATATCCCTGCACTTTGGGCTGCACCGTGGGGATATAATTGCTAAGTACCTCTAGCTCTGAGTGTTGCCAGGAAAATGGCTATCATGGCCCATGGGTAATCTTTGAAGAAGGCTGCAGGTGCCATCCATTAGGAGCAAAGCAGCAGAAGCTGGCAGAAGGGCACACGGGTGGGTAGAAGGGTGTGAGGGTATCTTGCTACCCTTCACCTCCCTGAGCAGATGTCCTAAAGAGAACACTGACATCAACATAACTATAATCATCATGATAATGGTAACTAATACTTAATGACTGCTCTGCTGGCCCCAGACACTATTCTGAGCACTTGCTATGTATGAATTCACGAATCCTCATCACCGCACCATACAGTAGGTATAATAATTCCTCCCATGTCACACTTGAGGAAACCAAAGCACAGAGAAGTTCAGTAATCTGCTCACGGTCACCAATTAGTATGTAGAGGAGCCAGGAATCCAACAAAGGTGGCTTGGCTCAGCCCTGTCGGACACACGATATGTACCTCTCCTTCATAGCTCACCATGACGGTGAATGTATATGCATTCACGTGACTGCTTCATTGATACTTGACATTCTCCTGCCCTCCCCTCATCCCCACACACTAGGATGTAGGTGCAGTGACAGCAGGGATATGTTTATTTTGGTTTGCCACCGTACCCATGATGCCTGGTTTATAGCTCATAATAGGCACTCATTAAATATATCTCTTTACCCAGTTGTTCCTCTTGGTAATGTTTGCAGAAGCCCTTAGTATAGGCTATTATCTCTTACTGGTTACCAACCTTGAAGAATTTAATTCCTCCTCTGCCTACTCCATCACCAGAAAGAAGGACATGCTTTGTCATGAGGCAGATGATAACACATAGACATCTTCTGAGAATCAAATGACATATACAAAGTATTATATATATACATATATATATATGTATATATGTATATATATATGTATATATGTGTATATATATATATATATATATGTATATGTATATGTATATGTATATGTATATACACACACATACTATGGTCTGAATGTTTGTGACCTCCTGAAATTCATATGCTAAAATCTCAACCCCAAGACAATGGCATTAAGAGATGGGTCTTTGGAAACGGAATTACTGCCCTTGTAAAAGAGGCCTCAGAGAGCTGTTTTGCCTCTTCCACCATGTGAGGACACAGCAAGAAGGCACCATCTATGACCCAGAAAGTGGGCCTTCACCAGACACTAAACCTTGAATTTCCCAGTCTCCAGAACTGTGAGAAAAACATTTCTCTTGTTTATAAAGCCATCCAGTTTATGGTATTTTGTTCTAGCAGCCCAAATGGACCAAGACAATAATAGTAATGTAAATATATTATAGAAATTATGAAATATATATAGATATACAACATATAATAAGTATAAAATGTAATAATATAATACATAGTAAAGTATCTATTATATATATAATATTTTTCCCTGAGTTCTCCATGAGTCAGGCACTACCTTTAAATTCCTTAGCTCATTTGCCCCTTGCAACAATCGTGATGGTTAATTTTATGTAGCTCGGCAGTAGTGCTCAGTTGTTTGATTAACTTTGATATACACATACATATATTTGATATATATATTTATACATATCTATTTATATCTCCCTCTTATTGGTTCTGTTTCTCTGGAGAGCCCTGTCTGAGACAACAGTCCCATGAGGAATGTTACCTCATTTACACAATATTATGTACTATTACCCTAATTTTACAGATGTGAGCGAAACTGAGGCTCAGGGTTTAAACAACCTTTAATTGGTTTTTACAATTTAAAAAAATTCTGATTATATAAATAATGCCTCTGAACTTCATGGTGACCGATAAATTAGGCAAATTTCCAAAGGTTATCACAGTGACATGTAGCTGAGTCCTGACTCATGCCAACTCATGCAACCTCCTCTCTGAGGTCTTGTACATCAGTGTGTAGTGTTTGTCACAGGGTAATGATTAGTAACCAGCAGCTATAATGATTATCATCAATAATACATGCTGCTCAGCACACGTCGCTTATTATTATGTCTTCTCTAGTCCCTACTGTGTCTCCCTCAATGCCAACTCAATTATTTAGCTTGAACAAAAGTTCCCTGGATATTTATGGGAAACCAGTTGAGGATAACATATAGGGAATGCAGTCCCCTGGCTTTTGTGATATCCAGTTTTTGTTTTTTTTTTTTTGAGAAAAAGGGAGGGAATAAAAGAGAAAAGGGGGAAAAAGAGAGGAAGGGAAAGTGAGAATGGAGAGATCAAGGGACTTTGTTGACGTTTGTGGCAA